GCTGTATATACATAAATATTTCCAGATTCACCTGAGAGCAGTGTCATTGTAGCAATGATAAATCAGGTTCTGAGCACGAGGAATGCAACAGCTCCAGAAAGCAGAGTGCGATCCATCATACAGGCCCTTCAAGTCTGTGTGCATTATTTAAGGGTTTGGGAGCCACCCTGGGGGAAATGTAGTGGATGAGATGGTGGTAGAAGGAAACAGAAAGGAAATGTAAGGATGTAGGAGTGTAAGGTTGTAAGGTTAAATTTAAGGAGCTGGAATATGGTGATCATTAAATAATTATCTATTGGACAAAACACACACACGACAGGAAAACAGCAGTCCCACTGCAGAAGCACGTCAGTTCTAAACTTTTTTCTGGGTGTGACTTTGTAAAAAAAAAACAACAAACCCTGGGGTCCAACTGCTCCTCCCAGGACACTCAGGCCTATAATTAGGTTACCTGCCAATCCATTTCATTTCAACAAATGTATTTAGTACATAACTATTGCCTTTTGTTCAAAAGGAAATGTAATTAAGTGAAGCCACACAGTCATCTACAGTTAGTGCTTTTTAATTAAGATAACAGACGAAAAAAGCTGCGGGCAGAACGGAATGGGTCCAAGCCATTACCAGTGCATGTCATAGTGTGATGTCACTGCTGTCACAAGGCTGCCTGATGCCTTTAAGGACATGGCTCTGGACAGTGTAGGATAAGAACATCCTGCTAAGTCTGACAATCAATGCCACATTAATGAGTCCTATGGGATCAGGAGGTGAGCAGGGGTTATGTACAGGCCAGATAACAGTATGAGATAGAGGAAGAGAGGGGGAGAAGAGGGGAGCACAGGCTCCAGCTCTTACTGCGGTCAGCAAAACTCTCATTGCAAAACTTGCAGGTAGAAAATGATGCTCATTCTAATAAGATGTGTTATTTTAGTAAGTATTAGGAGAATGATGGGAATGTGACAAAGTATATAAATAAGAAATGAAAAAAAGGACAAATACAAGCAAATGTGACAAACAAAGCTCCTGCTAAATGGCAAAGGAGGGATACAATATTAGGCAACATGTGGTGAAGTAATGTGAACGGTTGTTCGGTTTTGCTCTGCACACAAGTAGTGCTCGTCAGATGAGACCAACGGAGAAGACCAGGATGTTCCCTAAGTTTTTCCGGGGCTACATTGTAGATGTTGAGCAGATATACAGCACCATTTGTATTACGTTTGGTATGTTTTTCTTTCATTTTGATATCTGAGGTGTTGAGAACTTCCCCTAATTGTATTATAATTGTGGTTATTTTTTTAAATTAAAAAAAGAAGCTCTGTATCAAAAAAATAAAATAAAAAAATAAGTTTTGTAATAGGAACATCTAAACTAATTTAAAATAAAAGTTCATCATATTTATAAATATATGTATACACTTTTCCCCTTTTCACTCTACATCTGAAAGCTTATGTAGTTAAAACAGGGAACGATGCAATAGTTGCTGCAAATGTTTGAGAGGGGAATCAAAACGGTGGTTGTGTATGATTTATCCTCTCTGTTTGATCACCCTGGCAGGCTTATAAATAATAAACACTTGATTCTGTTCAAAGGATAAAACGGACTCTGGGTCTGGACTTTATTCACCATGGAAGCACAGGAAGAAATGGAAACTACGTTGACCAGCCATAACTTTGCTGCATATTTGATTCAGGTATTTATTCCTTTCAGATTGGACCAGTGTTGGTGGGATTCAGTGTCCATTGTCATCAGTCACGCTAGGTAATTAATTGCACATTTTCACCTGTAAGCATAACCTCAGGTTCATCAGCACATATTAGTATAGAACAAAGGTAGAATATATTTCTTTTGAAGTGTTATATTTGGTCTGACACAATACATTCTTTCATGACTAAGCTCTCGTGCTCACACTCGTCCCACTCACTCACTCACTCACTCACTCACTCACTCTTGGCTTTTGTTTGGACTCTACGCTTCACATTGTCTCAGCTCTCAGAGTAACTCCTCTGAGACTAGATGAGGAGGAGCCTGTGGCCTGGAGTTGTGTGTTTGTGTGTGAGTCGTCTCGAGGAGAGTAGCGGCTGCTGCAGATCACAGACCAGCGCTGATGCACACTTGGTTAAACTCCATCCACTGGGTGTGAAGAGAACACACGTGTGTCGGGGAGTCGGTGTGAGGTCAGAGCAAACACAACATTGGTCAGGATACAGGGATGACTGAAGTTTTGAATGGAAAAGAGAATTTCACTGGGAGATAGTCACATGTCTGACTGGGGATTTTCAACCTGTGGCTCAGGAGCCACATGTGGCTCTTTAAACTCTTTGCTTCCTGTAATGGACTAAATGAAACCTGGCTGTGCTTTAAAAAGTCAGCATTAAATAATCAGACAAAAATCATGGTTAGAACAATTTTACATGTCGCACTAAAGTTTCAGCCAATAATAGCAAACAGAAACAGAAACCACGGGGAGAGATCAATCAATGCTGGCTTCAGGTCACTGCTATCTGTCTGAACAGACTCAACCAGGACTTCTCTGTCTACGTCAAAATACATCAATAATAAATACATATTTATGGAAAATTGGGAAATTATTCATTTAAATTAAAAGGATCCATGTGTGTTTTAAGCCACCCATAAAAGTAATAATAGTTATATCTAAGCACCACGGTAGGATGCTTAAATCATTGTACACACAAACGTTAGCTACAACTAGTCATCTTTTAAAATACAATAAGTTTCACAACATTTCTGCACTGGTTTAAATGAATCGGTCTTGGCTACAGTATGTCTGGCTCTGTCCGTTCCTTATAAACCATCTAACGCTCCACTGAGTTGTTCAGAGCCACATACTGGCCAGCAGAGGGAACAGGGTCAGAAACAAAGAGCCTGAGAAGCCTTTATATTAATTGCTACACAGGTGTCAGCCCGCACGCCGCACAGGTGTTTAACAATGACGAGGATGTGCCGAGGTCCAAGCCCAGTGTTGGGTCACAGGGCAACTCTTCCTGGGTAACTCGAAGATGCCATCAAATATTTAGCTGGCCTCCTTTTCATGATCATCGTATGTAAACAAACATATTATCTGTGTGACTGACATGCAATCTTGCAGTCTGGCATAACAGTGAAAGCTAAGACTGTTTTTTTCTTTTTTTAACAAGGAAAAAAAAACGGAGCACGGAGCAATGATTAATCAGCAAATTTATTCTCTCCAAGACTCGGCCCCACCAGCGGGAATGTTACACTTCCGCAGGTAGGACACAGCTTGGTTTGTGTGTGTACTATATAAAATTAGTTTTGAAAGATAAATGGGACCGTGAAAGAAAAATCTGGCCCAATGCTGCACCTTGCGTTCTGGTGTTTTTAGGACACACTACCTGCTGAAAAATGCACCCTCATTATAGGATGTTGTAATACAGTGTTTTCTTTCTCTCACTTCAACGTACAGCAGGGGAGAAATTAGTGCTGCATACAGTACTTTTTATTTTAATGAAGTGATACTTTTGGTAAAAAAGAGATTTAGGTAATCAAACATAATCATTGTTTCTTGTAATTGTGGTAGGAGGACGGAGGAGGATGGAAAACTCATTAGGGACGGCCAATGAATAATGGAGAAGCGTGTGTTGCTGCTAGCTTGGTTTACATCTTCGCTGGATCGAGAGCTGCTGTTGGCTCCAGTGGGGGTGTGGAGTTCGGGGCAGGTGGGGCAGATGGAGACAAAGCGAGGCAGGAGGAGGAGGAGGCTGGCAGGAGTGGAGAGCTGGAGAGTCTCAGAATCGCCACAGTGAAAGTGAGGAGATGACTCCACTGAAAGCTGCAGCCAGCGTCGGCCTCATCAGGCAAAAATGGAAAAAAGGTGAAGCAGCCAGGAAGCGAGCTGCAGGGATGCAATGGTGTAACCAAGATCACTGGCAGTTGACAAAAAGGGGGGAGGATGGAACACTGATGAGTGATTATGCATGTTAGATACACACAGGAGTTCCTGAATGGTTCCATATGTGTTCCCTTCTACCAGAAATGTTGTTCCACACACAGTGTACCCCTTCAGGTTTCAACAATTATTGTATTTTTTATATTTCTTAAAATATGTTCCTCAACATCTGAAAGTCATTTCAATGTCAAACTGTGCCTGCAGGAACAGGACATACTGTGTACTCTGCATACGTAGTAGAGTGTACTGTGACAGTATGTGCACAGTCATGTGGTGAAAGTGACAAATGGAGGCGAATGGTTGTAGGTGGCTGCAGGTGTTTGGTTTCAGGTGACCAGTGTTGCGTGGTCCACGTGGTAACCAGAGCTGGAATCTCCGTCCAGAGGATAAAGCTCCTCCAGGATTGGTCGATTCTGCCTCCTGCTCCGATGTTTTACACGCAGGATGGACAATGACTGGCACATGGTGTGTGACACGGGGCTGTTACACAACCAGACATTGATATGATGCATGGATGCATCCATGGGTGCATTTTAAAAATAAAATTAGAGTTTGTTAATGTGCGACAATGCTCAGTGTAGCGGCTCCTGCTGACTCGCCATGCTTCCTCCTCAGAGGTGTCTGCGAGCATCAGGAAGTGAAAATTGATAATCACAGGTCTCAAGGTGTGAGTTTCTGCACATCCTATAGATAAAACTTGTTACGAGAGAGACAAGGCACTGATGTGCTGCTCTAATTTTTTATGTTACCTCAGCAGCTGGATGTGAGTCTTCAATCTCACTCTTTCTGCAACGGTTTTGTACATGAGATAAGATGATCAGGATAGTTAACCTGATCGTTTTTTAATATTTTTCTAGTTTGTAAATTAAATTATGAAAAAACATAAAAAAGGTTAACAATATTAGCCAGGAATTTTAGGAGAGGATAAAAGACAAAGCCAAAAATAACAGTACCTTACTGAGCTTTAATTTAGAAAGAAGAAAAATCAGAATCTGAAGCTCTCATATCTAAAGCTAAGTTCAATCATTATTCAGAAACCCAGAAAACTCTGACCCTGAGGAAACGGTGATAAAAAAGGAACTAGGCCGAAGCATGTAAATATATAACACAGGGATGTGGGGCAAGAGCTACAGCCACAGATATTTGGGAGCTTCAGTATCTGAAATGACCAGCAGAGTCACTGCATGAACAACTGATTGGAATCTAAAGCATAAAGAACGCTGTGTCATGGTTTGGGGCTGCATTTCAAAAAAAGGTGGTGGTGGGAAACTGAACAGAACTCGTGTTAGAAACTCATTTTTAGTGATTCAAATCACAGGACAAATGAAAACAACACACTCCCCATATACAAAAAAAAAAAAAAGATAAAATGAGAGTGACAAAGCCGGTACAAACTCAGAGAATGAGTGCTGCAGGGACGAGCTGGGGTCAGGAGCAGGAGCTGATGCTGGTGCAGCAGATAACCTGGGCAGAAACAAAGCACTTGGAGTGGTAGATGATTCATTTGGAGTGTGATTGGGCAGCAGTGAGGGAGCAGACAAAGAGCGTGGTTGAGAAAACACTCACCGTGAGTAGGAAGACCAGCAACTCAGTGCACCGACATTTAAATCAGAATCACATTCATCTCCACGGCAAATGTGCTGCACTGGATGGAGTGATGTACGTCATGGGGAAAATATCTATTTAAATAATAATCAGGGTTTTTTTTTTTTAACAGATCTTAAAATAAAACAAGAAGAGAGTGCAAAACCTCAGTTGAAGTATTTAGTATTCACTGTGAAACGACACTATGTTTAGAACCCTGTCGTCGGTGGCAATGGTTTGAACTGCGGCAGAGTGACAACAGGGGAATTAACACAGAAGATGGAAATCACCTGCTCAAAGCTGACAGTGTGTTGTTTAGTTTCACATGTTTACAGTAAAATTCAATTTTATTCATACGTTTTTATTTACATCCTCAGCTTTAATTAACAGCCATAACCTGCAGTGGGATAACTACGGCCATTACTCAGTCTGCACATGAACTGTTGTTGCTAACAACGCTAATATTGTTGAAGGATTACTCCTCCATCCATCCATCTATCCATTTTCATCCTCTTATCCGTTACCAGGTCACGGGGGCAGCAGTCTCCACGACCACCACCCAAATCACACTGCACCGTACCAACCCCCCTGAACCTTCCTGCAGGTGGTCAGTCCACTGGAAGGTACCAACCGCCCTAACTGGGATTCAAACTTACCCAGGAGGTGAACCCTGGGGTTCCACACCAATGACAGAGACGTGGCCTCTGGACCAAAGAGCCACTTACTCCTCCAACCAGTGAGACCAAATACTTTAAAATTATCCACATGCAAAATGCTGACAAGCTAAATGTTGGGGCATCTGCTGTTAATTCAAACTTTTTTTTAAACGCAGTTCATTTGTATGACATTTAATTACAGTCTGAAGTATCAGGAGGAGCAGGTGGCCCGGGGGTATTTTTACTTCATCTGCCCCCCTCCCATTAAAAACATGTGGGCACCCCGACCCAGATGCTAAAAATACCTTTAGGCAGCACTTAATTAGTGAAGTAATAAGATGAGATGATGGAGTGGAGAAGATGGAGAGAAGCTGGAGCGAAGGAGGAGGAAGGAGTAATTGTCTTCAACTGTACTCAAACACGGGTCTCTCTTCAGTTTTTGTCTTTCAGGAGACAAACTAAGAAGTCAGTCCAGATGATCACATCACCTAGGAAACCTGGTATTTGTGGTTTAAAAATATTATTTTTATTATTTTATCTCAAGTTGGTTGGTTTTAACTTTGTATATTTAGTTTTCAGCTACAGTGTTATATTTGTGTCCATTAATTGCAACATAAATAAAACTGTTTTCCTTTGCAAAATACTTGACATCCTGCTGGACTTCCAGATGAATTTCTTTGACGGAGCTGACGTTACTCTGCCACAGCGTTGCCTGCTCAGCAGTCCTGAGTTTTCTAAAAGCACTTCATCATTTCCTCGGGGAGGAGACGAGAACAAACACAATGTGACACCACTTTTTGGATCTGAGAGGAGAAAGGAGACGGAGAGAGAAGGACAACAAATCTACGACACTTTGGTCGACCAGCACGGTGGCAGTTAACCTCTGCTGCAGAGACAGAGACAGTGTCAGAACAGACAACCACAGCTCACTCCCACCTTCTCATCCGAACACTGCACCACCTCGTGGTGACCACAGAACGATCTCCACAACCTTCTCCTAACCTACAATTGGACCACACTAAGGAGAGAACGTTCGTACTCGTCTCAAGTGACCACAGATGCAGATGCTAAAAGTATGACAATCCCCAGACACAGACACAAATGTCTGTAACAGCGCCTGCAGGTCTTTTTTTTACTGCAAAAATGAACATAAATCTAAACAATACCTTTGGCTTGACACAACCTTGCTATTTTGTCCAATTATTGCTATTTTCATTTTAAAAAAGAAACTCTGTGCACTTGTTCTGTGCGCTTAATTTCAAATGATATGATGTAATCTCACACCCTAATGAAAAAAAGACAATTTGTAAGTAGATGAACAGGTAAGGTAGAACATGTCTTAATCATGGTGCTGTTTGGTGAAGGGGAATTCGTTTAGTGCAATGTCTGCATTTGAATATTTGAGCAGAATCTGCCCGACAGTCATGGAGATATTTCCGTCTGCGTGAGATTGAGCAGCTGTTGATTTTCAGCAGAGTCCACACAGACGCTGTGAGAATTCCACCACAGATGTGTTAAAGGCACCAGAGTATCTACAAAGGCAGCCCTCCAGAGACCATGATGCAATGCAGCCAAAACACTTTGTGCTCACTCAGAGCTGCTACTCTCAGCTTTTATCAACTAGGAAGAATCCCATGTTCCAGATCATTCATCGGCCCACTCTAACCACCGAGCTTTGGTTAAAAGCAGCAGCTTTCTGAAAAACTCAAGACGAATAAAGAAAAACACAGAAATGACAGGGAATTTATATTCTCTGTTTTTGTCACCTTCAAATCAGCAGAAATTCAAATCCAAAGCACTATATTGCTCATCCTTTATGACCCGACATAACTGTGACTCCGTCCATTCAGAAACACAGAAGCCCTCCCTGTGAGGTCGTCAGTGGAGCCTGAGGGAAACCCAATCCGGGAGGATAGAGTGGTCGGAGAGGATAAAGCAGCCGAGGCGATGACGCTCGGAGGACGGTCAGAGGACGGTGATCAGGATGCCACCGCCGCTCCTCCATGCCACTGACACAGCTTCCTCATCAGCCAATTACAGTAATTAGAGGATCGTTTCCAGTTGTTGAAAGATTAAACGCTCAATTTCCTGGCTGCTGGAACGGCTTAGTGTTAGTGTGTGTTATGAAAAAAAAAACAACCTGTGAGAAAAAAAAAACTTGAACAATATTATATTTCTTTAACATAAACTTATTTGTGGACAAATAAAATGAAGCTGATTGGTTGTTGTTGACTTTTCTCTCAGAGCTACAGCTGCAGAGACTCAAAAATCCAATGTCAGAAACTTGACGACAGCACAAATCTACCTGACATGCATTAATGACCGGGCCGCTGAGGTGACTGTGCAGTGCTTTCGGCATCGCCACTCCAGCTCCTGTGTGTGGCAAACGCAGCCAAAAATAAAACAAAATGAGAGCATGAAGCAAAACCACTTGGGATCTTCCTGTCCTCTCACTGTTATTGGCTTGTGGAGCGCTGATGCAACACAGTGAACATTCCTGCACTGCTGGGATGAATGTGCCTCCACACAGTAATGACATTTGAAAAAGCCCAAGAACAATATTTGTCTGTAAAAGATAGAATTTTATTGTTTGATTTTGTTTGAATTTGATTGTTTGTTTTTTTTACTAAAATTAATATATATATGCATATATATGTGTATACGTGTGTGTGTGTTTATATTATTAATTTAGTTTTGACAACAAAGCCATTACAAGAATGAAATTGCCTCTGTTTGGCCCCTAAAGTAGACTAAGTTTTTGGCCCATAGACCTAAGAAAATCCTCACAAACTGCTGTTCCTTATTTCATGAAAGGAAATCCTCAGTGACTCTCTAGAAACTGAGAAGTAATGCGTGACTGCATGATTCATTCAGGTCATGTAATTCATGAAAAAAAAAAAACTAAAACCAACTGCTATCATAAAGTCAAACATTTGGCCTTCATTTGCCAGATAATAGGGGGAGGAGGGGGAGGGGGAGCTGAGATGGAGTTACAGGTGAGACAAAACCTCAGAGGGTGATCTCTCTCCTTACCCTTCCTGACGTGACCATCGTGGGGTTAATAAGAGCTTCTCCCTGTGCATGGATGTAATAGAGAAGATGGCCGGCTGTCAGTTTGCACCTTCTCTTTCATCCTCTGAACCTGATGGTGACATAAAGGCTCACACAGGAGGCTCACTGCTGTCATGACACTCAGCTCAGCTCAGCTCATTCCATATATATATTGTACATATATATATATATACATTTATTTATTTATTTTAATGACATGTATGACAATGAAATAAATGATATTTATTCCTGTTTATTTGACAAGTGTCCATTTCATGTATTTTTTTCCAGTTGTATCTGGTGGTAGTACTGTGGGTATAGTAATCCAAGTGAAATTGCCTAAAATCAGATTATGCTAATGAGGGACAGCCAGTGAGAGCAAGTAGGTAAAAAGAGGACTGTGGTGTATCTATATGTTGAAAGAAAAAATGTCACAACAAAAAAACAGTACAAATTATGGACCAAACAAAAAGAGCAAACTTTTTTTTAGGTTAGATAGAAAATCAATAAAATAATTAATTTTGGGGAAAAATAAATAAAAGTCAAAACATATAACATATAGAATAGGAACATATTTTTACAAAAAAAACCAAACAAATAATGGAATAATAGCCAAGAAAAAAGAACGTATCCAATTAATTAGTTATAATTCAAACTCAGGCTAATGTTTTGCATCGTTCACTGCTTCTATTTACCTTTCATGTGTGCTCCTACTCTGTGACTTGTGGTGAACACTGTGTGATCACTGCCTGATGTTTTCTGGCTTAATTAAGAACGATGGCTAAGAGCCAGAACTAGAGACACTTCCTGGATGTAATAAAAAGAAACTAAAGTCAGTCCAGTTTCCTGCCTCCACACTCTGGAGAATACGAGTGTCGCCTTCATTGTTAAATGAAGACGCTCGTCTCAAATCGGTGATTCACAGAACAAACTGAGAACCAGATGCCGGTGGATTGGCACCACTCTGGTAGAGTTGACTAAAAGTAGCCGAAGGTGATTGACATGCATCGTTGGGGGTTTGCATCTTTACTCTCGGCACCGTGCAATTCCCACAAGTAAAACAAGGGCTGACTTTTAATTATTTCACACAGCCTCAGTCTATTTCTCACTTCTCACCCACACACCCACGGAGAGAGGTGTTAAAGAGGGACGGCAACTAGAAAAAAAAGACTTTATTTCAAACCCAGCCAACGTGAATCTCATGTCGGTTACCATGGGTCAGTGACGCCGCAGCAGTGCAGGTATAAGGACTTCACAGTCAGTTTATCCAACTAAATGCTAACAGTGCTAACGCTGAACATCCTCCTTTATTCTAGTGAGCCTTTTAAAGCCAGTTTCTTTCCAGTCTCTTGACAACAATGAGAGAGATGTTTGGTTTCAGGAGTCAGTCAGCGGGAAAGTATTGAGCGCCCTGCTGCAGGATCGGATGTGGTGAATTAGTCTAAAGCCCGGCTGGAGAATAAAACTGACACAGCAGCACTGCGTCGGCCACCGTATCAGCGCCTGCCACACAGACTGTGTGCAGCCTGCGAACCTCACCACTGGGTACACATCTCACTGTACTACAAGTAATACCAGGCCAGTCGTCCACGTGGGCTCCACTTGTGTAGCCCATGTGATGTGCCACTGGCTATTTCACAAAAGTCATTCTCATTCTTCAGTGCTTACATGTACCACAAGCAGGAAGTAATTCACCTACATTCATTAAAAAAAAAAGAAATTATATATATATATATATATATATTTC